GGCGGGGTCGCCTGGGCGGGGCCGGGAAAGGCGGCGCGGGTGCGGGCGCGGGGGCTCCAGCTGCGTCGGCGGCCCAGTCTCCTCTGTCCGGACCTGGCTGCCGGAGGACGGAGGTGAGGTGGGACGGGGGCGTTGCTGTGCAGTGGAATCTCCCAACTGGTGTGGAAGGCAGGCGCCCGAGGAAACGGACCGTGTGAGGCACAGGCCGTGGTGCGACCCGGGAATCCCAGCGCGTGAGAGGCTGAAGCAGGAGGATCGCAAGGCAGCCCAGCCTAGTGAGGTTAGTGGTTTGGGAAGAGCCTCCCTAGAAGTACAAAATTAGACACAGTGCTAAGGCCATGGGTTCAGGCCAGGGGCGGAGGTCTACATTAAAATGAAGCTCAGAAGTTTTTGTTGTAGCTTTTAGAGACAGGGTATTGCTATGTGGGCCAGAGACTCCCCATCCCACTTGCCCCGGCCTCCCGAGAGCTGAGGTTACAGGCGTGTATCCCCACCCGGTGTAAGCCCTGCTCTTTAAACTTTCGCGGGGTGCACTGTAGGGCGCGGTTCTTTTCCTACTTTTTCGTGGCCCAAACTCGCTCTGCAGAGCACGTTTCTTTATAAACGCATGACCTCGCTACTTTAAAATGTAATAAAATAAAAGACACCATAAAGAGAACGAAGACAAAGCAAGAAAGGAAGTGGGGGAGTTTGCAGTACGTACTCGGGAAAGGATTCGGATCCAGGATACACGTGCTTTTTAAAAGTCTGTAACACACACACACACAACTCAGCAGGTTAGAACCTACAACATCTCTTCCTAGAAACCAACCAGGAAGCTGCCCAGCCTCATCTGTTACCAAGGACATGTAAGTTAAAACAATGATTTGTGATTCCAAATCCATTAGTTTAGCAAAACGTAACCACTCTGCCCATGTGGAGTGTTGGGAAAGGTTAGCGCACTAAGGGGGAGGGGAGGTGGGGAGGAGGGGGAGGTGCTTGCACTCTGGAGCCCCTCCCTGCAGGCGATGGAGGTGAACATGTGACAAAGGTCTCCCCACGCCCTCAGTGCCACCCCTGCGTATGCCCAGGGCAGCAGATGCCCTGCAGTGCCGTCCAGCTGCGGGCAGGGTGAGGAGCAGCCCTGTGTGTGGGGAGAGGCGGACAAGGAAGGAGGGCAAGGCAGTGTGGTGCCTGGCACCCTGCCCGCGGGCCTCACAGAGCATAGGCGTCCACTCGGATAAAACAGAACCACGATCACTGAGTCCGTGTCCGAGGGCCCTCAGAGGCACCTCCGAAGCTGCTGTGGTAGCTGAGATGTTCCTGTGGCTGCCTTCTGTGCAGTTTGCCTGTCAGACGCATTGCTCTTCACCCATCCTGCTGAGCTCAAACGTCTCATCCTGGGAGCAGCAAACCTCTGTGCGGTCTGAGTGTCACTTCCCCAGCCAGGACTCGCCCTTGTCTGTCTGCCAGCATTACTGAAACTGCCTAATGGTCGGATTTCAGGTCTCCAGCCTCTTGGCTTGCCTGGACTTCAATGAGGAAAGAGGAATTACCTTCAGCCACCATAATGCAGTTAAGGTCTGTATGTAACAGACCTGCTCCTTAATATTTTTATTATAACATTTATAGTACTAGCAATGTTGTATATGTAATTATGACAAATAAGCAAAATCTATTGGATATATTTGGTACTTCCTATACCATAGCTGTTTAAAAAATTTTAACATTAAATTTTTTGAGACCAAGTCTAACTATGTAGTTCAGTTTGGCGTTGAACTTGGGGCAATCCTCCTGCCTCAGCTTCCTACCTTCTGGAATTACAGGCATGTGCCACCATGCCTTGCTCTGTCAAGCCCAAGTTTAATAATTAACTTATATGTCTGCTTAGTAACAATAAACGCCTGACTTCACAGGTGTAGGTAGGTTGCAGCAGTTTTACTCCTGAGGTTGAACAAATGAGTGTGACATCTGACACATGGGACTCCCATCCAGCTACATGTGGCAGACTTAGAGACAGGTCTAGTGCTGCAGTGCACCCTCCTCCATCGCTGCCCAGGCAGTCTGTGTTCTTGTGCAGGGAATACTGGCTAAAGGTCACATCATCATGGCACAAGTTTCCCGGACTATGGTGCCAGCTGTCCAGGGCTGCATGCTGGGCGGGTTGGACGTGCCTGGTTAAGCCATCAGAAATCATCGGTATTAATCTAGTACTGTGTAGCCTATCACACTGTTTAAAATTAGAGCTGGGGATATAGCACAGTGCCTGCCTGGCAAGCATGAGGTTCTGAGTTCAATTCCTGGTACCCATAAAAAAATAAAATAAAATAAAAATTATACTCATTGAATGGAAAATTCTCAAGAAAATCCAAGAACTGAATAATATGTTAGAAAGGGGGTCACTCCATTGGTAGAAAGCGGGGAATGGAGAAGCTGCCTGTGAAGTATCTGAAGTTTTTTTCCCTAGGCTGTGTGAATCTGTGACCTGGCGGGTGAATGTCAGCTGCTCTCCTCTGGGTAAGCTCTACTTCACAATATAAAATGGAGAGCTCTGTGCGTGCGACACCAGGCCTGTAGAAGCCTTTGTCCACATGCCTTGCTGCTGTGGGAAGGTGGGGGAGACCAGAGAGTGGGCAGGGGAGGATCGAAGTGGTTGGGGGTGGGCCTGAGGGGACTGTGGGGCACTGAAGCTTGGTTCCTCTCTCTCTACCTCTGCCTGGGAGGGGACCCAGCCTTCTCTGCCCTGTGTGTCCATCCACAATGTGCTGCCTGCCACAGACCCAAAGCAGTGGGTTCAGCCAGTCTCAGACTGGAGCCTCCAAAACTGTGACCAAAATAAACCTGCCCCATTTAAATTGTCTCAGGTGTGTTCTTACAGTAATGGGGAGCTCAGTAACACAGATATGTACATTTTCTATGTGGTTGGCCTATGTTGTATTCACAGGTTCACAAACACTTGTTGATTGATTGACTGAGGGGATAGGTTGGAACCCAAGGCCTTGCACGTGTCAGGCAAGTGCTCTGCCACTGAGCTGCACCTCAGTACAACATAACTTGCTAATTACCTGCCAGCTACAAGTTGTGTAACTGTGAGCAAGCACCTTAATTTCTGTGCCTCAAATGCCTCCTTTGTTAAAAAGGGGATAAGAAAAAAAAAAGCATCAAACTGAGAGGGTTGTTATGAAAACTAACTAAATCCTCACCTGTACAGTCTTTAGTCTGAAAACTAAAAAAAAAAAAAAAAAATCCTGAAAGCATATAGAATGCTTTATCTAAAAAAGAGCAGTTCAAATGACAGCAGATTTCTTATCTGAAACTATGGAGACCAGAAGGAAATGACACAACATTTTTTAAATGCTGAAAGCAAAGAACCATTGATGCTTAATTCCACACTGAATGAAAAAATCCTTTGAAAATAGAAAACATGAAGTCATTCTCAGGCAGAAGAGCACTAAAAGAATTTGTCACCAATGACCTACTCAAAGTGCCTAAAGGGCATCCTTTCAATGTAAATGATCTATTTAAGAGATGCAAATTAAAACAACACTGAGATTCCATCTCATCCCAGAAAGAATGGCTGTTATCAAGAAATCAACCAGTAACAAATGCTGGTGAGGCTGTGGGGAAAAAGGAACCCTTATCCACTGTTGGTGGGAGTGCAGACTGGTGCAACCACTGTAGAAATCAGTGTGGAGATTCCTTAAAAAACTAGGACTAGAGTTTCCATTTCACTCAGCCCCTCCCTCATGGGTATCCTCCAAAAATAACTGAAAGCATCATTCCAGAGTGAAATATGCACACCTATGTTTATAGTGGCACAATTTGTAGTGGCCAAACCTTGGAAACAACCAGAGTGCCCATCAACTAGTGAATGGATAAAGAAGATGTAGTTTTTTTATATAATGGAGTACTACTCTGCCATAAAAAGGATAAGCTTGAGGCATTTCTAGGAAAATTGATGAACCTTGAGTCCATACTCTTAAGTGAAATAAATTGGACACACATGTAAATACCACACTGTTTCCCTGGTCTGAGAAACCGAAAGTAGAAATAAGGACCAAAAGTGTAATAGGGATTGTGAAACAGGATGAAAATGTTCAAGTGGGAAGGGGAATAAGAGAGAGGGGAGGGGTAAAGAAAAAAAGATAAAAGTGAAAAAAAAATGATAAAAGAAGGAAAACATGGAAACAAAACTTTTGTAAATGGGGAGAGGAAGAGAGGTTGAAGGGAGGGTAGGGAATGGGAAAAAAAGAACAAAGTTACATCAGGTATAGGTACAAATTCTCTATGATGAATGTGCTCATTATGTATATCTAAAATGTACCAATAAAATCTAATTAAAATATATATATATAAATGATTGGCTCCTTTGGGCCATGTCTATAGGACACAGCTCTGTT